TACCGATTTAGCGAAGTGCTAGGAATGAAAAGTAACCGGTACAAAACGGGGGAAAAGCGGCATGCATGTACCACAACTCTGAATAGACTAATATTTAATAATTTACAACAACAATGCCCATACTAATAAAACAATTTCAAGTTCAACTGTGCTGCACATCTTCACTGCAAAACTACATTCTACCAGTATGTTCCGCTCTGCCGGTGTTATTCATTGTTGGTTAGCTACTCGTTGTTGGTTGTTTTAGTTTGAGCTCTGATAGTTAAGGTGACCCAGACCTGATGGTCAGTAAATCTTGCTGGACCTGTAGCGATGTAGCGAGTTATATTTAGGTCGAAACAGAACGGACTGCTGACGACCGCAAGGCTGTTCGTTGCACTTTGTAGAACTGCTGATGTTACACGTTTCGATAAATGCATGAAAACGGAATCAATTGTAGGAAAACTCCTTTTTCTTTATTCTTTTGTTTTCATATACCCGGCGATTTGAATTGTTTTGAATCTGGTTCTTTTTCTTTGACTTCATATTGTCAAAAACAAGTTTATGATGTTGATGATTCAACATTCAAGTAACTGTAGGTAGTTTCATGATTGATATCAACGTACATATTGGACCTTAAAGTTTAGTGAAAAGTGCAGTGAAAAATACTGGAGAAAGAGCTTTCAGATCAAAAATAAATTCTGCGGATTATGAGTGCATCTTGTATTAAAACGACATCAATATCGACAACAGAATTGTTTATAAAACAGAAGAAACCAATATAGAAAACTAGTCATCGTCAATTAGTAAGTCTCTTTTTGGACCTAAGAAGACGACTACTCCACCTCAGAAAATGACTTTTACGGCAAGAGGTCACTTCTATTCTCATCGTCATCATCATAGGATGCCAGTCTTAACACTGGTTAAAAAAAAACTTGTGTGTGTTATCCCACCGGTCACTACTGCTGGTGGGCGGGCAGTCCCTCCGGACTACACCGGAAGGTAGGGCACCTCTTCAGCCTCCTTTCAGGAATCGTGGGAATGGAGGGGGGTGGTTTGGGTAAGAAAGATGATACAGACGAAATGAAGACAAAAAAGAATGAAAGATTATCTGTGGAATATTACTGCCCTAGCATTTGCCTAAGTGATCAAAGGAAACCACAGAAAAACTTGGACCAAAGCAGACGGACCCGGAATCGAATGGTCTAAACCTCTAGGCCATGCCGCTCGGTTTAACACTGTTTGGACACGCACCTCCACTCTATCCTATCCTGAGTTAATCTTCTCATTTCTTCACATCCTTAATTGTTTGTGAACAGTAATCTAATCTAATTCTACTTCTTTTTACTCCTGTTTCTGCTTCTAATGTCTCTAACTAACCGTTCATACCCGAGAAGGTGTCCTGCCAACCTATCTGGTCTATTTCTAATAAACTTCCCTACTCGGGATATCATAATATGGTGGTATCCCGTTGCCTTCCACATCGCATCATCGTGCATCAAAGTGTCATACCGATCCTCGCTCTTCCCTCTTTGAAGGACTTGGAAATACCGTGGATATAAAAAAGGTTTGATGTGAGAAAGTATTGGAAAGAGTATGACAACAAAGGACGAAGTCAATAAGAAAAAGGTGACATAGAATAGTAGAACATATCCTAAAACATTAATGACTAGTGAAATGTCTAGTATATGATATCAAGAAAAACGCGTCCCATAAAATTGCTTATGTAGTTTTAAGACAAAAAGTTCCCTCTTAGTGTACTATTTCACAATGTGAGCGATCTAAGGTGACGCAATGTACTTAGTATAGGGCCCTCAGTTCCTCCTTGCGGGGACCCATATTTCAGTTATACTTGTAAAAGGATTTCGTACATGATTATTAAATTGTTGCCTATTAAGGGTTAAGTTATTCATCCAAACAGGAGGTAGTATTTTCTGCAATTTTTATGTGTATGTATTTCACTTTATATAATTTGTAGAAAACAAAGTTACCACTAAATTCCCAAAATCCTAAGACACCGAAGCTACTACAGTTTTATATCGTAAATGATTGTATATAATTAAATAAAATAAGAGACTTCGTATTAATGTAATTAATCGCGTTTTGTTCCTTTAAAATTCGTTGCGTTTCTGTGGAATTAATTATTGCATCAAGGACTATACCTAATTCTTCATTTTCGCATTGCTCCCTTGACCTTTAGAAGTTCATTAGAATAATAATTAACGAGTACTAGCGGAAATTGTTTGAAAACGATTGAACCGGCGCGAAATACTTAATTTAAAGTCTGGTTTTACAGTTTCACGCGTTCTTCACATTTCAGTGCCTTTTGCAGGTACATATTAAAGCTTCTACAGTTTTTCTATTTGTAATTCTAGTGCAATAAACAATTTTTATCCTAGCCTTAATGAGTGTAGAATTACCAAAGGGAAAAACAGGAAATATGCGTACATGTTCGATTTGCCTATTTTATGTTTAAATGAATATATTATGAAAACAAATAGCTTTTTTATTTATCTATGCCTTTAAAAAGAAATTTAAATGGTTTATTTCGGTGTTGGATTGATTCGAATGCTGGTTAATAAAAATAAAGAGGTCAACAAAGTAAAAATGTACGGTTTGAAATGTATCTGACAATATTTCTAAAGAAAAATGATAGCGGGCTGCTAAATTATTCTAACTGTTTTGTATGATCAGTCCTTGTCCTCAAAAAGATCTTTTGACTGTAATATACTCCATTCAAAGATAATGCTAAATAATTATGCTGTCATTGGAATAGTACAAAAACATGTAATAATAATGTTTCTTCATACAACTTTCAGTTTTACTTTGTATAAAAACCTTATTTGTATAACTAAGTATCCTAATACATAGATAATAAATTTTGCAACCGTAGTTATGTAGAAAGAACTTACGGAAGACAAATTTATTATTGTTTGAAGTGTGTCAATCGTTTTTCGATTCCTCAGTTCCTCAATATAAACTAACGTTCATTAAGTTCTTGGTCAGAAAGCCTGGAAAAATTACTGACCAAACTGATAAAGCTCCTAAACAGCGAGTTTACATATCCAAGTAGATGCAGTGAAGTAGATCGCCATCTGTTGGGTATTTACTGTTATTGAAGCAGGGGCGGATCGTGAATTTTCTTGGGTCGTGGGCTAATACTGCTTAAGGGCTTACCTAATTTTATCAAAAAACTGTTGTCTATAATGATTTAGATATAGGAAGAAAATAGGACAATAAAGTATTTTAACACATTCTAACAGTAACAAAGTTTGACGACGAGAACAGAAGTAAGAAAGAAAACACAAAATTGCGTTGGGTAATAAACGTCGATAAGTCCCCCGTAATATATGCCCACACGCAAGAAAATACACTGATCGAAAACAAACGACGGGTAATTCCTCGTTCCGTTCGATAGACATGTATACACGGGTTGGTTGATCGCAGAGTTGCCAACCTTATAATCCGATTTTTTTAATTTTAGATATTTTTTTATTCTTCACAATATCGTCTATTGTTTTCTATATAGGCTGGGAGCCATTTGTATCCACGGGGTCCTTAGCTGCAGCCTAAAAACCCTTAAGTATATCCATCTTTGTACTGATGTATTTCATGTTTTAGATAAGACCTTTCTAAAGTATCGACTAACACATGAAAAACTTCAGTAGCGGCAAATACTCACTAGATGGCGATATATTGCCTTCACTTGGATATAATATAAACTCGCTCATGAGGAGCTTTATCGGTTAAGTCAGCAATTTATCGAGACTGATAATAGTACGCTGATGAGACCTAAAAAGATCGAAATCGCAGTCCGCGTCAGATGGTTTCGATGAATTTCTGACCATAAACGTTCTCATTTTTATGGTTTGCGCGTCTATTACGTATTAAGCTGCATCGTCGATTCAGTTAGACAAAGTGATACAACTCGTTTCAAATAGTTAGAGTTGTGACCTTGAGGAAACCTGCGCGAATAGAAAAAATACACAGTAGACATGTCCAACCAGTCTTAGGATTGACGACCTTATGTTGATGATGATGAGGCATGAGCAAGGCAGAAATAGAACGAGGTAAAATATGATTGAATTTAGAATCTTGTCACCACGAATCCAGCTAAGGAGAAGGGACATATCTCTAACCGCTTGAAATGAGTACTTTTGTAAAGTTTTGTCTAATTCATGAAGTACTTCAGTAGCAGAGAATACCCACTAGGTGGCGCAACCCTATGTCCTTTTCTGTACTTGTGAAAATGTATGTACAAAATTTCATGATGATCGGTTAAGTAATTAAGGCGTGAAATGGTAGTAAACAAACAAACAAACATTGGATTTAAACCCTTTTCAAAGCACATCAAACATTTGCTTCATCCTTCAGCGTTGGTTTACGTGCTTGCCAGCTAATTAGCGCCTTTACTTCTATACATAAAATGCTTATGAATTTTCATTGTTATTCATAATCTTCTTTTAACCTTTTACTAACGGATCTGATCAGATAAAGACGATACATTACACATTTTTGAATTCTTAATTACGGCATTAGTGCACGTCTTACCTACGTGGTTATTAGAAAACACCTCTAATGAATTGTTTTCAAGGTCTGCCGCTTCTAAATCGAAGTAAAAGTGTGCATCTTCCTTATGCATGGAATACACAGTTTTCTTTGTACCTAATCAAATACCTTTCGTAGTAACTGTAGAAGAAAAAGAGAAAGTTTCGACGTGCAATTATACCAACGACAGCGACGCTTTAATTGTTAATTAATTCGTGCAAAGAACCTAATGTAAATTATATACACTCGTCAGTACGTTTATGTTCGCTAATAAAACACATGAAGCGCAAGATGAAACAGGACATTGTACTGGCTTCTGCTTTGTTGTAAACAGAGTAGAAATTATTGAACTAATTTTGGCATAATAAATTTTTCAGTCGGTAAACAATTTCTATGTGCCCATCCATTGTTAGCTTATATAGAAATAATAGTTGCTGAAATTAAAAATCATTAACATTGTTGTTCAAACTTACCTTTCTATTTTCAGAACAGAATGTTGTGATCATTTCTGAAAGTTGTTGGGATTTTGGTGAGTGCAGAGTTAATCTGCCATGAGTAGTCTCTATGGTAATTGTTGTTGGTCTTGGGGCTGTGGCTGACGAGATGTTACTCAAAGGAAATGATCTAAGTACATCGAGGTGATTAGATTCCCTCTTTACAAGATGAATACCCCAATGGGACACAGCCAAAATTTGGACATCGGATAGCTGTAACAAAAATATATACGTATAATGCAATGGTAACCAAAACTATTTAAATATTTTAATCTTAAAAAAAAAATTTTTTTTGTTATACTGTTTTTTTTTTTTTTTTTAATTAACCCTCAGTGAAGTACAAACGCATTAGAAATGAAAGAAGTAACTAATTCAGAAACAAAATAATCTATATTTACAAAATACGACGTTAATATTTTTATTACGGTAAAAAGCTTTTATTTTGTTTTTAAAAATAAACATTGTTCACCAACCTGTGCAGCTCCAGAAACAGGAAATAATCTTGCAAAGTATAAGGGCCAAGTCCTTGCCAATTCCACAACGCTCCTCTTCACATTTCCTCTATGCTGCGAACTTACATTTTCCGGTTTTACCCCATACCCGGAAAGCATATTCATCCCAGCTTTCCTATCGCTTTGACTCAGTCTCAGGCACGATGTTACGCCGAATACATCGTTAACAACCTGACAGAACATAAGATGGATGGCAGGTAAAGGTCCAAGGGGTTCTGCCGGTGTAAAAACTTCTTTTCGTACTCGTAAAGACCAAGGTACTCTGTTGTATGCCAATGAGGGGGATGCACCCAATGGGGTAAATCTGGAAGGTGATTTTAATGTGTTTTCGTGGTTGTTTTCCACGGGGTTGTTCTGGGATGGCTTTTGAGGTGGTGGAGTCTTAATGGGTCTCATGAATTCTGGCCATTCAGATCCTGAAAATTTAATAAACAATCCCATAAAAATATAGCCTGTACATGTTCGTAACTAATATGAGTCACTCACCTTCCAATTTTTCTGTGTGAACTGTAGACACTGATAGTCGTTTCTCCTTCTCCTTTGCATTCTTGCTCATTTGATGTGTACGGAACGTAGGTCTTTCGTGTGGCTCATCCCTTTTTACGAATTGACTTGGTTTTTGTTTCTGGTCAGCTGCTTTTTCTTCCGTTTCCCATTTCTCAAACGAATTCTTTTGTGATAATTTTCGTACTTTGTCCACCGAGATGCTAACCTCACTTTGATCCCAACTTGATTTTCTGGTAGGCCTTTCGTTGTGATTCGATTCGATGTCCTTGGTCCAGTTCGTTTCTTCAGAAGTCTTTTGTGAAAACGAATTCTGAATATCCCAGTTGGCACTGAACGAATTTCTTTTCGAATTACCAGAAACTGTTTGATTCTGATGTACTCCAAATGTATCTCTGTCTTGCCTTTGAGCCATAAAAGAATCCCTGACTGGCTCAATTGGAGGCGGTGGTTGCTGAGGTTTTACAGGAGGTGGCGGGGCCGGACTGGAAGGTGCAGGAGGTATATTGGGTGGACCAATAGGCGGAGGTGGAGGTCCTGGTTTCCAATTCGACCTTGTCCAGTTTTCTCGAGGACTGTGGGGAGGCAATTCTGGACTCGGAGGATCACTTGTAAGGCCAGAACTATCAACAGAATCCCCCCAACGTCCTGCCAATTGTTGTTCCAGCATCATTTTCCTTGTGTCTTCTAATTTGTTAATTTTGCGAGACGAACTCTCTACATTACTACTTGTTGATCTAACGGAATGGCTCGCAGTAACAATTTCCAGTCGTTGTTTCATTTCTGAACTAAGTTTTAATTTCCCTATGCTTCCTGGTGTTGGCCTGGCAGCACCAACTTCATAACTTCTTCTCGAAGATTGTTTACTTGTATGTCGCACGACTTCTTTTATGGACGGTTCAAACTCGAGTTCATCCCATTCAGCGGGTTGTTGTTGAGAAGAGTGATGTTGATCAGATTTGTAATGACCGTTTTCTTTATGGCTGTGGTAATTTTCCGATTTGTGATTGTAAGATTTTTCAGTTTTCTTAAAACTTTCCCTAATATTGTGGCTCTCATATTTTTGGCTTCGAAAACTTTCAGATCTTTGATGTGGAGAGTTTTCGTTTATATACCCATTGGTAACAATTAATTGCTCTTTATTGGGAGTAATTTTTCGTTGGTGCTGTCTTAATTTGAAGTGCATAAAATCTTCACCGTTCTCTTGTTCATTCCCATCTTTTGGTGGTGGCCATCTCCATTTGCCAATTCTAACTGTCTTGGCTCTTCCATATGGATCCATAAATGGTCTTACCTCGGATGGATCACATTCGTGTAACGGTGGAGGCATTGGCGGAGGTGGCGGAACTCCACCCCTACTTATTATACTAACATTTGATTCAGTACTGCCTTTGCGGATTTTGTTTTCTGAGGAAGTGCCATTCTGAATTGCCAGTTTATTATTGCCAGAAACCCCAGCTTTGCTTGACTTCCTTTCGTTATTGTTTGTTTGATGAACTTCAGCTTTTAGGGTGGTTTGAACAGTTTCAGTCAACTTCACCTCCGTTCCTGGCACTTGCTGACTGAGAAGTTGTTGAAGAGCTTGATTTTGAGCGAGCAGTTGTTGCTGAATTTGTATATTCTGAGCCATAGCGGACTGTAGAAAGGCTCGTTGAAGATTCTGTTGATAAGATGTTAAATCCGCGTCTGGAGATAAGGGAAGATTATACATGGGCACAAAAGAATCTTGTCCGGGAACACCTAGCATAGGCATCATGAGTGGTTGAGGAGATACTAAGGGAGTTGTAACTGGGGTGAAATTGTATCCGGAACCGCTGGGAATATTTGACTGATGAGTCGTTCCACCGCCTTTAATGCTTTCTACTAATGTTTCTTTTTCCCCAAGCATTTTAACGCTGTCGTTGATAAAAATCGGCCTAAATAAATCACTAATGTAATCGTCTACGTTTCCGGAAATGTTTTCCATATCAGCGTTATCCCCGTTTTGGAAAACAACTTTTCCTTGCTTTGTTCCACTTTCTGGAATATTCTTTTGACCGCCTCCTTTAATTTTCTGAACCATCGCTGAAGGATCTGACAATTCGAAATCGTCCAGAGAATCGGTATCACCTAAGACATCATTAACGAAGTCAGTGTAGGCATCATGATAGCTTTCAGTTTCTTCCATTTGTGCATCTCCACACCCTTTGATACTCGCAGCTAGTGATCTTGCATCGCTCAATTCGTCGAGATTTCCATCCAGTACTGGACTGAACAACTCATCTAAAAACTGATCAACATCTGAGGCCTGACTAGGGACCCTAACTCTCCTCACATGACTAGCCAAACTTGGCGCTTCACTTGTATCAGACATTGCTGAACTTCTCACAGTGAATTCTGTTTTTTCGATTACCGCTCTGCTGCTTTGCGATCCTGGAGGTGCTTTCTTTCCGGAATAGTGAGACTTTATATATCTTGGACCTCCTCTGTTGGATGTGCTAACGCTCGAAGCATCCTGATATTCAAAATCCATTTCCTGTTTGGCCATGTAACTATTGTTCGAAAGAACAGGTTTAATTGGAGCTAACTGTTCAACAGAATGGTACCTGTCGTTTAACTTTGAGTGACTTAGACCCAAGTTAGCTAATGGTGTAGGTTCTGGTTCATTAAGAAGATTATCCAAGCTGCGCGACCTAATCTTCTCAATGTCAAAGTAGCGTTCGTTTAAAGCTGAGTTACGTGACAGTGCTTCGTGCGATGGTTTTCGAGTTGGAGTACTAACCAGTCCTGGTGAATCTCTTTGAGGGGAGTATTCGTGGTTCGTATTACGAGAAGATTTCCTTGAACTAGATTGAACTGTTTGTAAGATGTTTTGTGATATTTCCGTTACTGAATCGCGAGATATTTTGCGATTTTGAGCAACAGGAGGTTCAGGAGGTGGCACCTAAATAGAAAATAGAACGTCATATACTTTACTCTTATAAGCCATACCAATTCTACCTGAGGTCTTGTTGGACTACCACTAATATGATGGTCCACTTCAGTAGGAGACGAGCGGCGTACTCCGCTTTTGAGCAGATTAGACTTCGTTGCTGGAAATGCTGGACAAAGTTCCATTTCAGAAATAAAGTCCAAAATGTAGTCTAAACCATTTCCATCATTCACAATACCTGCATCATCTAACGATACAGACCAGCCATCAGGAGGAATGCCCAGCACATTTATTGCTAGTGATGCAGCCTGGAAACGAAATTTAAAGTATACCTGGGGCAATCACTGGGAACGTGGTTTATTTACCTCTTCGCATGTAGTCCATGAGTCGACACTAACGGTGTTAACTGTACCATCAGGTAAAGTTAAAGCAAGAGCCATGTTTGTGTGTTGTCGGGTACTTCTCCATTCCAAGAAGTTTGGAGGATACACCCGGGAATGAGGAGATTTATGAAGTCCTTTTTGAAGTTTTCTTTGTAAAATTTCTCTATACGAGGGTGTAGCATAGTCCGTAATATATTTCAAGAGGTACCTGAAAGTGGAAAAATGCTCTTTACGATAATCTTCAAAATGTATCACAAATACAACTTACTTGCTTAATGGAAGGCTTGGTTGGAAGCAGCTGAGACAGTGCGCCATTAATTGCCAAATTCTTTCTGAATTATCATTGTTCTTTGTCTGATTGCATAGTTGAATTAGCAATTCATCCCTCAATCCTCTTGATCCGAGACCCTTATGAACTATATAATCTGCTAAAGCTTTTTCTCTTGATCCACTCAATTGGGCATCATTAGACCATCGGAGAATAAGTTTAAACAGTGCCACGGAATCCTGGAAGTCTTTGTCTTTAGCTGCTGCTTTCGAAAGAAACGGAGCAGATATGGGGTCCTTTCTGTATCCAAACTCAGTTCCTTTTAGGTAGACTGAGTTAAATTTATTAAAGTCAAATTGCTTGAGATCGCTAGGCAGTTCTAACTGTTGTTCTGATCCAGTGACTCCACCCACAACCTTTATCAAATTTTTCTCCGTGTGGGGAGGCACGTAACTGTCAAGTTTTGAAAATACAAATGCTAGCTCTGCAGGGATTTCTAGATGGTGAATGTTTCCCTTTACCAATCTTTGTTGTTGTTGTTGCTGTTGCAAATGATAACTTTGCATCTGCTTCTCGTTCTCTTGGTGTTGACGCATTTGCTATGTAAATTAACATGTCAGTGTTGAAATAGGTTGCCTTTTTGGTTATTTAACTTACCTTCATTTGCTCCTGCTCCCTGGCTGCTCTTTGTTTAGCCCTTTCCTGCGCTAACCTTTCTGCTTCCATTCTCCTTTTATATTCTGCTTTTCTTTGCGCATATCGTTTCCGCTCCTTGCGTCCCCGATAAAGGGCTTGAGTTTTAATAACCCCTTTCCGAATTTTTCTGTACTTTTCCCTTTGAGCTTTTCCACGCCAATACTTTTGGATGGTGACGGCGCTTTTTTGAAGCTGTTTGTACTTTTTCCGTTCTAGATAACCCTTAATATGTTTTTGAATTGTAATTGCCGAATCTTTGATTATTTCGTTTCTGGCTATTTCAAGTTGACGCTCCAAACTTTCGCGCAAGAAAATTCGCGTAGCTCCTAGTTGATAGTCTGGACCAGCTGCAAACGGAAGGTGAACAATTGTTTATCAAATGAGTAATCCATCTATGTATTTGCCAAACAGAAAAAGTAAGAGAATTTTAACGTTCAGTAAAAGCTAAGTTTTTGGACATTGATGAGTATCTTGTCAAAGTAAGAAGTATAGAGTTCATCTAATCCAAAACGTTTCTCAAACAATTAGAGATTTATTTAACATGAGATCCCATACAAAATACTTTTTCTAAATTTCATTCGTAAACGTGTCGATATTTTAATGAATAACAAACAACTTGATTATTTTGATCTGAATACAAGTGACAGCTTCTTTTACTCAAATTATTCATAGAATAAGAGATCTCAAGTAAAAGGATCGTTAATATATTAACCAAATGAAACCGGTAAAAAGGAAATTCTATTCTGGTATTTAAAAGGCATTATTAGTGCTAATATAATTATGAGTCTTGATTCAATTCTTAGAGAGACTAATCTCTCTAAAATTGTCTTGACGTGGTGGTTTTGGGAGTTGTTTTGGAAATGATATTTAAAAGATATTATTAGTGCTAATATAATTATGAGTCTTGATTCAATTCTTAGAGAAACTAATCTCTCTAAAATTGTCTTGACGTGGTGGTTTTGGGAGTTGTTTTGGAAATGATATTTAAAAGATATTATTAGTGCTAATATAATTATGAGTCTTGATTCAATTCTTAGAGAAACTAATCTCTCTAAAATTGTCTTGACGTGGTGGTTTTGGGAGTTGTTTTGGAAATGATATTTAAAAGATATTATTAGTGCTAATATAATTATGAGTCTTGATTCAATTCTTAGAGAAACTAATCTCTCTAAAATTGTCTTGACGTGGTGGTTTTGGGAGTTGTTTTGGAAATGATATTTAAAAGATATTATTAGTGCTAATATAATTATGAGTCTTGATTCAATTCTTAGAGAAACTAATCTCTCTAAAATTGTCTTGACGTGGTGGTTTTGGGAGTTGTTTTGGAAATGATATTTAAAAGATATTATTAGTGCTAATATAATTATGAGTCTTGATTCAATTCTTAGAGAAACTAATCTCTCTAAAATTGTCTTGACGTGGTGGTTTTGGGAGTTGTTTTGGAAATGATATTTAAAAGATATTATTAGTGCTAATATAATTATGAGTCTTGATTCAATTCTTAGAGAAACTAATCTCTCTAAAATTGTCTTGACGTGGTGGTTTTGGGAGTTGTTTTGGAAATGATATTTAAAAGATATTATTAGTGCTAATATAATTATGAGTCTTGATTCAATTCTTAGAGAAACTAATCTCTCTAAAATTGTCTTGACGTGGTGGTTTTGGGAGTTGTTTTGGAAATGATATTTAAAAGATATTATTAGTGCTAATATAATTATGAGTCTTGATTCAATTCTTAGAGAAACTAATCTCTCTAAAATTGTCTTGACGTGGTGGTTTTGGGAGTTGTTTTGGAAATGATATTTAAAAGATATTATTAGTGCTAATATAATTATGAGTCTTGATTCAATTCTTAGAGAAACTAATCTCTCTAAAATTGTCTTGACGTGGTGGTTTTGGGAGTTGTTTTGGAAATGATATTTAAAAGATATTATTAGTGCTAATATAATTATGAGTCTTGATTCAATTCTTAGAGAAACTAATCTCTCTAAAATTGTTTTGACATGGTGGTTTTGGGAGTTGTTTTGGAAATAACTTTCCATTTTAATTTTCGTTAATGATTGTGTTAATAAGACTGAGAAAGCAGTATATTTTGGTTCTGTCCAAATCGAAACTATTTACTTCGTGTTCAAACAAGAAATATTAAGATCTCATGCAAAACTGACAACACAGACAAGTATTGATTAAGATGAAGGGTTGAAAAGTATATTTTTTTCTGCCAGAGGAATAACTACATCTCTGACATTTACATAGAGAGCACCATTCCTACTAATCACGAGATCATCATGAATAATTTGAGATACAAATCCCTCTGCAATCATTTTAACACGATAACATGGTGGTCTTAGACAACACAAACATCGATATCTCAAATGAAACAGGCGTTCAAGTATTAATTAGGAAAAAGGAGTTAAAAATATGTTCTTTCCGCTAGTGAAATGATTAAGTACATCTCTACTATTTAAGAAGCACTGTGCTAATCATGACTCTTGATTCATTAGAGAAACTAGTCTCTCTAGAATCATTTCGTCAAAGTGGTGGTAGAAGTTGGTTTGGAAAAATCATTATTATCATTTATTGTAAATGGTTTATAATGTGTCCTAATTTTGTAAATCCAGACAATCTAAATGGCGACTGCGTCGTATGCAAACACATCATGTTTATTATTGTATCTCAAACAAGACATGAGTGATGAGATAAAGGGGTGATAAGAATATTTTATGTATTTAATTAAAGCACAAATTGTGTGTAATCGTAACAATGAATGATTATGAGAAACTAATCTCTCTAAAATCATTTCGACCTAGAAGTCACAGAACTATCCATTCCAATTTTCATAGGAATACTGGTTTCGGAAAAAGACAAATTCTTCAATAGTTCCTTTAAAAAAATGCAAAAGTTGGTGTAATTTGACTTGCCTGTTCCAGTGGGAGGCATTTGCTCCAAAATACTTCTGCATAGGTCTTTAAATGGAGCTCCACGTGGTATTCCACCAGGAAGAAGATACCTACAATACAGCAGTATTAAATATTACGCTTCGCTTTTCTTCTTCTATTAAATACCTGAATCTTTCAGCAAAATGTTGAAATTTCATTCTAATCGGATAACCAGATTGTCGTATTCGAATGGTGTCCAACATTCCCAAGTATCTCAACTGCTCCAGAACTGTCGGCATGTCAAACTTCATAGGTTGCTTGTCGTTGTTTGGTTTAATGCAGCGTATAAATAATGGGTTGCACTTGCTCATCGATTCAATTAATTGATGTAAGCTGTCTGTAAACCTTGAAAGTAACGAGTCAATATGACGAATCAATTACGACTTTATAGATGGGCATAATCAGGAAGAACATGAATCAAACGAGTTTCATAATGTAAAATAGTACCTTGCTGCAACTGTTGGAGTTCTCGGTTTCATGGTGACGAATCTTCCGTCTGTTCCTCGAGGAAGAGTTCTTGTTTGAGCTTGGGTTAAAAGTGGTTTAGCGAATGCATTGACTAATGGTTCTTTACTTGAAGCTAATAATTCCACCACTTCTGGTCTTAATACGTCTCTATTTTTTTCTAAAAATCCCTCCGCGGAATACCACACTTGCCCAGCAAAATGTCGTATCTACAACAAAATGGTTAACACAAGTTGATGTATACAATATTCCATGCTTTAAATTACCCCAAATTCTCTACCTCCTACTCTTGGTCTGCAATAATTTTCGTTTAGAGCATGATTATAATGGCACTTTTCTAAAAAGGACGCATCGGAAGCTTTGGGAAAGTTGCTTTCGTCATCCAATAGATGAAGAATTCCAACAGGTTTCTTCGCTAACAAGTGAATCACGGGTGTATTATCAATCCATGTCAGTGGAGACCATTTTAACTTTTCTCTGGCGTATTCCTGTTGTTCAAGCTTAAATACATGTTTATTAAAGTATAACTGCAGAGATTCGGACGCAAAGTTGATACACAGTTGTTCGAATGAATTTTCGGAAAAATTTTCAAATCCAAATATGTCTAAAAGGCAAATCCTGGCGGCATCGTGCAAACCTCCTCTTTGTACTATCGAATTTATTCTTGCCACCAACCTAAAAAGAATTTCATATAATATATATGGTAAATTATTTCGAACTATGTCTCACCAATTAAACAAAGCCGAATAAAGTGCTTTAGCAAATGCATCTCGAGCATCAAGAGCTTGATCAATGGTTAATGGAGAATGTACCCTTTCTGCCCTCGCTTCGGTCATTCTTGTGGTCAAGGCTCTTTGAAGTCCCGACGGAGATATTTGTAATAAGTGTGCAGCCCATTTAATTTCAGCATCAGATCCCACTTCAACACCCTCTTGTCCATGCCTTAATTGTCGACGATGAAAATATATATTTCCTAAATGCAGAACGGATGCAAGAACTTTAACAATGCCATCCAGTTCAGAGTCACCGACTCCCAAAACCTGCATGGCTTTAGTTAGTGTTGCCCAATCAGCTCCAGTTCCGGAGTGGCCAGCGGAGCAATCCGTTCCTAAAATATCACAATTAGAGTATACCTTATGTAATCATAAGTAGTTAAAGAAACACTCACCTCCTTGGTTTAAGTAGAAGTATTTGTCAGCATCAACCAACCCATACTTTTGCTTCTCTGTATTATTCAATCCTCCCAGAAGTTCGTAAAAAACATGATAATTCCTTTCTCCAGGAGCATGCGTCACTATTCTAGACTTTTCTAATAAGTACTGTGTAACTTTAGCTCCTACTATGGCCCCGGTTTTGAAATAGACTTCCAGATATTTTCCAAATCGAGAACTGTTATCGTTCCGAGTTGTTCTAGCGTTTCCGAAAGCTTCCAGTAAGGGTGCTGCTTCTAGAATCTGCTCGGTCACTAACGTTTGACCTCTTGGGCCGGAAGGTGCTACTGCTGCTAAATATTGCATGACTAGTTTTGTGGATTCGGTTTTGCCAGATCCACTTTCTCCGCTGATAACAACAACCTAAACATTACACAAATTTATAGATTTCGGAGAAGAAGACAATTAAAGTTTCATATTGGTTCTTAAACATTCTTATTGGTTGTTTGTGTTTCAAATGGAGAGAGTTACACCAAATTTAATTGAAGCTAATCAAAAGTTATTCGTTCATGTTTCCTAAACATAAAACACTTTATGGGATAAATTGCAATGTCATATAACGAGTACATTTTGATCAAAAGAGGAGTATAATCAAAATATTTAATTGTTTGCAATTAGACATCAAATAAATTGTAAAATACATTAAGTTTCTCGCTAGTAGATATTACTTCTTCTAAGAATCGCTCTGTTATACTACATCTGATGGATTTTTATCAAAGTACAGTTTCACAATTGTATTCTAATTCGAAGGCCATCTTGTTTTCTGCTATGGAAGAAAAACGAAACCGTTCTGGCTACTATTCACTAAAGAATTGGAGCTTGACAGTGTATGTACTTCTACAAGGCGTGATGATCATCATTTACAAATTGCAAAAGTATTTTAAAAGAACCCATATCTGTATGAAATAAAAGAACTAAAGAATTGGGAGTGGAAGTATTAAAATCGACTATGATGCAGGAATGTTAAACGTAAAAAGTGAATACTAGTTTCTTGCTTTCCATTTCTGGTCACCTATACAACAAAAAAATATCCTCAAGTCTTGGAATGTTATTTACCTGTGGCGCAGGTAATCCGGCGTAAGCAGCCGCTCCCAGTGCGAAAAGATGGGGTGGTAACGCACCAATCAACTTCCCTTTGTATTTCTGTGCTTGTTCGATTCCGTAACTGGAATCGAACATCCGGTATGGGTTAACGGCCACAAGAATGCTTCCCGCGTACGTGTATATGAGGTTCCGGTCGTATCGAAGTTTCAGATTCCATAATAAGGCAGCTTCGTGAAGATCTGTCAGTTGAGTCATGTCTTCCACGCCTGACGTCCCCAGGTCTTGACGCCGACGAACCGAACCCTCGCCTCCAGTCAAGGCGAACGTTTGAGACTGAAAATACAAAAAATCCAATCTTTTTGACCTAATTATTTTACAGACTTTCTTGAATTTGGGATTTTGGGAATCCAACTTTATTTGAAGTGAGAAAAATTATTCCTTCTTCGCATGAGTTCAATTCGCATTTTATGAAACAAAACTATAACGATTGAGTATTTAATCTATTTAATTTGAGAAACTTTGATTGCAACGGCCCTCTTGGTCTTTATTGGGCAAGTTCTATTTCTTCATTACCTTTCCATTTATTACTGCTTGCACAGTAAGCACATTTGCTGCCCGATGGCATTCCAAGACTTCTCCCGGAAGCCAATGGCCAACTCCTGGATCGAACCATATCAAATCACCTGTAGACCACTCCATAATCGTTTAAATTTGGACGAAATGCTATTCTTTCATGTCATGCCATCCCCTTACTATTCTGAAACAAATTAAAATAATTTATTAGAACAAAAAGCAGTGGACAAGTTCTCCATCGTCAAATACAATTTACTTAAACATTGAAAGACAATAGTTTTTGTCATCATTTGTTCTAATTGGAGAATAATCAAAGCATTTTCGAGAGACTTCCGTAAGTATTCCTTTTGGGCATTTTTTATTAGCTTTGATGTGTTTTGGATAAAATACTTCATGAGATTCTTTGAATTTTTGTAGCGTTAATACAATGTACTAGTGAATTCATTTTTGGATTAATTCTACCAACTACAGATAACATCAAATTAATGAGAAAATCCTCATAAGGTCTTCAACCCAAGACCTATTAGGCATGCACTTCTACATACTCCGATCTTGAACCACTATTTATTTATTTATCAAAAACCAGAGCAACCTACATCTCTATTTGCTGACAGTAATCTAATCTCTAGATCGTCTGCCCCCCTTTACTCCTGCTTTTAATATTTCTCTAACAAGTCCTCCATATCCTGGGAGGTATTCTCCCCCCCTCTCTCTTCTGTTTCTTATTAACTTCTAACCTGCTACTTTTTTGGTAATTCCTGTTTTCTAATCTTTTCTATCTACGGTATTTTTGGTCATCAGTCTCAAATGTTTCTGACTTTTCTTTACCATATCGCTCACCGTCCACACCCATACAGGGCTTTGCTCCAAACGTATACTTTTATAAGATTTTTTCTAAATTAGTGGATAATGTTTTCATAGGTATATAGAAAACTAAAAAGGAATGTGAAGTGTTAGGTTCTTTTAGTAGTAACAACTTTTCTAACTATGTACTAATGAAGCAGGAAGTTTACAACATACTCAAATAGAGGAAGTTAGTCAGATAAATCTCACACATTATAGTTGATAGTCCACGAGAAAGGTAAACGCCAGTAAAGACCTCGGCTAGTGGCGAACCTGCTCGTTGTGCAACATAAAATATTAATCAATAGACAATTCGTCATGTTGTTTAAAATATTATTTAGCAAGATCATGCGAATCAGAAATAGTCCTGAACATTCTATGTTAAAACATAGTCGACCATCTTTCATCATTGCTATTGTTATTGATAAGGAAGGTTCTCCTTTGACAAGAACATATGTAGTAGCGAACTATCTTCCCATTTTTATTCACTTGGCAAATACTGAAGAAATAATAACAGTAAGAGAATTATGTTTTAATGGTTTCATAATAATCGTGCAATATTTCTTTTACTAGATAGTTAAATCATATCCAATTTTCGGGTGTGCTAATTACATCAATAAGTATCGCTGCGGCGTATTATCAAACTATGCAGAAAAAGATGAATTTTTACGGTAGCTAAGTTACAAATACTCATTAGTTTTGCGTTTATGTAAGCCGAATAACATTCTAAGAGTCGGTTGTGCAACGTATAAAATTTTGATTTGAAAATCGTCAGCGTAGGTACTGTTTGGCTGTTTATGCAGTAACAGGTCATTCTACTGGTCAGAGTTACGTGAATTTACTTCCGATTTGATGGCACGGAAGTTGGCGACAAATATATGTTATTACAATTCATAACGGCTACTGCTTGGTAAACTTATAATTGACCTCAATGCAGAAATAACTGTTTACTAAATTTTTTTAGAGAGACTAAAAATTAGCATTATCGTTGTAATTCTCTTCCGACTTTTTCCATTTTATCTACTGGTACATACAGTTCTTTCTTTCTGATCCGATGGGACTTGAACCTTGACGAAACTCTGGGTGGATCGGCTTGGAAGTTTCGATGTTTTCGGGAGCCGGACCATGGGTTCAACCATAAGGGGGGGGGGGGTTATTAAAGGGAAACCTGACTAAGACGAGTCCCTGAAAGAGGGCAGCAGCTCTTTCAGTACTCAGGGTGACAGACAAAGGTCACGAGGATCGATATGGCACTCTGATGCGCAATACTGAGATGTGGAAGGCAACGGAAGCCACCACATTATAATCCCGAGTAAAACGTACGATAAAAATTAAATGATGGCGTCCTTTGGGGTAAAGCACTCCGAACGTAAACTAGTCCCCCTTTCGGATGTCCGGGCAGGGACTACCTCGGGGGATGTCATCAATAAGTGCAATAGGATTAGGTGTAATATTTCACCAGTCGGAGTGAGGAATGTTAGGACAATAAGGCAAATAGGGAAATTGGAAAATTTAAAAGAAGAGATGAGTTGATTAGAATTAGATATAGTAAGAATTAGTGAAGTTCGTTGGCCCGAAGCTGGAGACTTCTGGGGTGGAGATTTCAGAATAATACATATAGGGAAGTAGGGCATAGTGTAAAAAGTTATTTACAAAAAGGGGATAGGATAGTTATAGTTAAATTAAACTCGAAACCGGTAGAAACGGTAATAATGCAGGTCTACATGCCTACATCATCTTGCAGTGATGAAGACGTAGAAGCGATTTATGCAGATATACAAGACATGTTAAGTTTAGTGAAAGGGCAGGACAACCTAATAGTTTTAGGAGATTTCAACGCACTAATAGGTGAAGGTAAAGTGGGTGCAACAGCAGGTTCTTTTGGATTAAGCAATAGAAATAATAGGGGAGATAGATAACATAACTTAACCGTCGCGAATACTTTATTCAACCATCACGTTAGGAGGCGCTATACGTGGAAGATGCCAGGTGATTTAGGGAGATATCAGTTAGATTACATACTTGTTAGGCAAATATTTACAAATCAAGTGAAGGACTGTAGGAGTTATCCAGGAATAGATATATATAGCGATCATAACGTAGTAGTTATGAAGACCAATCTTAAATTGAAAACTCTAAAAAAGAGTCCTACGAGATAGGCTAGGTACAAGGGCAGACGAAATACTAAAGGGAGCGGTAGAAATGAATGACAGGGACATAGAAATAGAATGGAACTGCATTAAAACGTGCCTAAAGTCAGCAGCTACATATATACTAAGTCTTAAACAAAACGAAAGTAGGAAGCCCTGAATAACAAATGATATTGTAGGATTAATAGAAGAAAGGCGGAAATACAAAAGCAGGACAGACGAAGAAGGGAAAAAAAGATATAAGACTATAAAGTGGGAAATAATTAGAAAAGTGTAGGGTGGCTAAGGAACAGTGGATTGATAGGATATGTAAAGATATAGAAGAAAAGTTTGAAGTAGGTAAAACCGATGAGGCTTGCTTATAGAAGGTTCCACTATAATCCGAATAAGGTCAGCACTTACTTCTTCTTTGAACCTCATTTTGGCCACTCCAAGTCGTACATACCAAAAGTTTCATTACAACAACAGCAGATAACCCAAGACAGTTCGGTCTCAAAATTCCATGTATTTTTTTATGAAGGCTCATTTTCGTTTAATTTTACCTTATTCACGCCTACTACGTCACAGTTATCAACTGTTGTCAGTCTTCTTTGATAGCTGTCATTGTAAGGCATCTTTCAGGATTTCGCCACTTCACTCCTTCTCCGGGTGCTCCAACCCCCCCGAAAACCCCTTTATCTGTTGCTCCCTGATCATAAGGTGCTCCTCTGCTACGCGGCGTCCTGAAAGATGACCACTGTTGTCAACCTACTACAGGAAAAAATCCCACGCACAGGTCCAAAAAATCCCATATTTTCTCTAAAAATCCCTCCAACTTATTACTATTATTATTTTTTAATTCGTTAATTTAATCGTTTATTAGAAGAAAAAATATACAATATTTTTGTAAACATGGACAACTTTTCGTGTCGATAGTATAATACCGATAATTTTATTGTATGTAGCTATCTCGTTTCCCAAAAATGCAGACAAAACGAGGCCTTGGAGGTTTAGATGTTTAGATGTTCGGATTTTGGAACAATACACCAATTCAAATATTTATTTTTATTAGTTTTATCATCTGTTTCTGATCTGTTGACTGGTCACTTTCAAGACGTTTGCTGAAGACTATACAATGATACGAAAACAATATACAATTCAAAAAAGTTCAAGACAATTTATCGTAGGTACTTGAGCAGGCTGCACCACGTCGCCCTCGTATATCAACCGTTTCATCGTACAGCATTACACGGTTACAGCTGACAAAATTTTACTTTTACAATTAGAAAAATGAGCGCCTTCATAATATAATATCAGGTCAACAAAATTAAACAAAACCAACCAGAAAATAGCAAATTACAAAAAATTCCGCAAAAATAAGGAAAAATCCCTTTATCCCACGAGAACGTCGAGAATCCCTCGAATCGGGATAAATCCCTCGAATTGGCAACACTGAAGATGACTAACGATGGATGCTGTCAAAGACGACTGAGAATAGCTGATAGTCGTGCCGTCTGAGTATGCGAGCAGGAGAGAGGGTTGAAATTGAACGAAGAGGTTGAAAAAGAATCTTCATGAGAAAATAGACGGTATTTTGAGGTCGAATTGTCATAGTTTATCTACTAACAATATATTTTAGACTTCACCGTGGTTATTTCGCATGCGTTATTCCAGGAGGCTCGTAGGATTGTACGCTCCTTAATTCGCAAACCTACTTTTTAAGAATAACTTTAATTTATCTCTACTCATAGAGGCAGTAGGCGTAAAGTACTAAGTTCCTTGTTGTTAAAAAATGTCTAGTAAGTAAATGGTGGTGCGAGTATGTAATCTCAGCCGGAGCATATTACACTTTCTAAATCGCAACGTCTCGAAACATGAAGGTCGTCTCTGCCATAATTTCTTTGCTTGCAACAACTACTTAGATATAAAATACAACTGCTATAAAAATGTGTCAACAAAACTGAAAAGATCATCCGCACACATACAACAATTGTATCCCAAATGTGTAGTTTTAATTGTGGCATAAATTTCAGCAAGCAAGCAAGCAACCACCGCCGGTTCACTGAAATCTAATCTGATACGGTAAAAGTGTAACTTCGACAACAAAATAAATTACAAAGTTGAGTTCATTGACAGCCAGTGACCTAGAATCACGGTATTTAACATAGCGAGAGTGAAAGGTTATGTTGCGTGTTTGTCACCTAAAATAATT